TCTCTCTCTCGGCGCGCATGCATATAGAGATCCATGCAACATAACCCCATTTCATGAACTAATACGAACCTCTGGACAAGGCAGGCCATCACTCATACTCACTAGTGGCAAGTGCTGCAAATGATACGTGCCAGTCTAGACTCGCTTCTTGCTGGACTGCATACCACACGCCAATTAACTAAAACTTTTTTTTTTTTTGTAAATAAGAACTAAGTAAATAACTAAATAAAAAAAAATAAACAGAACTTCAGCCAGCACGATTTTGATCCCAGTACCTCAAACTTGAGCAATAGGAGTCACGTGACCAAAATAACGAGATCAAGGCATGTTAAGAAATGCTATAAAATCTAGGGGAGGGCCGGCCAACGGGTTATCTTAATTTTTAAAAAATATTTCAAATGCTATGTTACTTCATATTATAAAAAATAATATTTATTAAAAAAATATTTAAAAAATTGTTACCACACACAACTATAATAAAAAAAAAAAAAAAAACCATTTGGAAATGAGACTAGTAAAATCAATATGCAGCTTATCCCTATACTATGTTGCACTTTTGTAATTCTTCCAAACTTTCGTGCGTTGTGTGTGCAATGTTTATTTAGCCATGTTAATTAATATTGCAAAAAAAAAAAAAAAAAACCAAATTGGAAATGAGACTAGAAATCAATATGCAAGCTTATCCTATACTATGTTGCACTTTTGTATTCTCCAATTTCGTGCGTTGTGTGTGCATGTTTATTAGCCATGTTAATTAATATTGCATTATTATTTTTTTAAAAAAAAATTATTGAATTAATTTGTTGAAGTAAATTTAATTTGCCCATCAAAATAATATTAATTAATCTAAAATCAACTCAAGCCATATTCATAAATCAAATGAGGTATGAATATATTTGGTGAAAGCTCTTCTTTGCAATGCATTCGTATTTAGGTTAAATAGATGGAATAGTACTTAATTTTTACTTTCAACTTGTTTAGGATATTGCCAACTAGCCATGATTTTTTCTTGGGGGACAAAAATGTATTTTATCATTTCATACAAGCAAATATACATTACACATGGTCAAAAATATTTTTAATAAAAATAGTGTTTTTAGCCACAAAATAATAAAGATATTTGATATAAATATTAACTTTCAATAGAAAAGAAACAATGATTTCCTAAATTTTTCATACTAAAAATTACAATAAAAATAACTATTAGTGTTTAAAATTTGAAATACATTATTGTAATTTTTAAGTTAATTAAAGTATTTTTTTGAGCAAGAGGTCGAGTTAGTTCATGTCTTGTTTTTTTTATTGCCTTTCGTGTATTCATCATTTTACTTCGAAATAAATGGTTTAATATTGAAAACATATATATAATTTGATATTGATGTATTATTATGGAAAATATATAGTTTTTCATAAAATTACATGAAGTTATAACTTACATAGTTTTTAAAAATATTAATGTTAATTATATATTAGAATTTATTTGATAATTTTATTTAAATTATTATTACAAGAACTGTTTCTTTTTTTAAAAAAAATTTAAAAATGCTATTTTTAAAATATTTACTAAAGCAAATAAAATTATGAAAATACATCATAAACTATCATTTATAGTAAAAAAAAAATCAACTTTGAATAAATTTAAAATTTGATCAATTTAATTTTATATTAATTTTAAAATATTAAAAAGAATTATGAGCTATAATATTAAATCCATCTCACTGAATAAATGAATAAATTAAATATCATGTGTTTACTCAATGAATTTAAAATTCTAAAATTTTTTCAAGTTGTTAAGTTTTATCTACATGACCAACAATAAATAATTGAATTGAATTATAAATTTATAACGCTATTGTATATTTCAATATTTATATGAAGTTTTGTACATTCATAGAATGAAATCAAACCTAAACTAAAATTAAATAAAGTTTAAAATTAAAATTAATGATAAAAATATTTAATGACAACCAAAAATACTTGTTGGTTGTTCTCTTTAATTTAAAATTAATGATAAAAATATTTAATGACAACAGAAAATATTTTCCTGGTCAAAGGAAAATAAAGTCATTTTTTAAGAAAAATAACTTATTATTTTTGAGAGAATAAAATATTTTTCAGACATTGATAAATCTTATAAATTCATATTTTTTTTAATTTATTAATCATCGTAGTAAGTCCAATCAGTCATCATTTACCACCGACCACCACTACCAGCTACCACCATCAGGCACCACCACCAGCCACCGGCTACCAGCGGCTTTCATAATTTATATATATATATTTTTTACATTTTTCTCATATTTAACAATAAAATTTTTAAATATTATTATTAATATTTTTTATGGTCTTATAAGAAAAATTTTAATATTTGTAACTAATTTTTAAAATTATAACCAAACAACGGAAAATAAGTCATTTGAAAAATATTTTTCATAGAAAATATTTTTCAACAAGTTATTTTCATATAAGTTATTTTACAAAAACAAACGGAGCATTAGTTTTCAAATCAAATATTTACTTTTTCGTGGATAGCTTTTATAAATGAACTATCCCAAAATAAAAAATACAAATATAGAGGAATACGGTTATTTTGTTACGATTTATAAAAACAAACTAAAAATATAACTATAAAATAAAATCTTATTTAAATTGAGGGTCAAACTCAAGTCCAATGACTTGAGTGAAAGCATCAGGGCAACTAAGATAGCAAAGAGTTTTGCGCAAAGACGATGTACTAAAAACATTTATCAAAGCCAGGGTGGCCACCTAGCCCTTCTCCCTCCGTCGTCTCAGGAGTAAGAAATTTTGAAGTCTGGAGTCCGGTCGGTCGGCTATAAAAGTTTTAATTAATTTGATGCATCAAGAGAAAACTATATTTATTATGTCGTGTTTTTCGCTTGGTTGAACTTCTAATGAATCAAAAATTTATGTAGAATATTTAATTTGATTAAAAAAAATCACCCTTTCCTCAATTTAAGATTCAAATTTCATCTTATAAAATTGATTTACTTAAATTTTGGGCAAAAATAAAAAACAAAAATTTTAGAATTTTTTAACAAATAAAAACAGTTGAATACATAAATTTATTTTTATACTTTTTATAAAAATTGTGACACCCTCAACTTTTGTTTTGACCAGTTAAACACTTTAACTTATAAAATTATTCTTGTTAAATACTTATTTGATCAGTTGAATACTTCAACTTATAAAATTAGATCAATTAAACACCTATTAAAAAGTAAAAAAAATATAAAATTATTATTCCAAAAGTTATTAACCACGTATCGAGTTAATATTTTATATATGAAAGCCAAAAAACTTTAAAATTTACTGTTTGTAGTATAGAGAAGTATGAAATTATTAAAAAAAATTGAATTTAAGATAAAATCAATTTTATAATTCAGAGTGCCACAAAATTTTTTTATCCAGGCTGAGAGGTAAAATAAAAACTAATATATAAAGTAAAGCCAGTGAGGGAAGACAGACATTGATATTTTGGTGACCAGAATGCTGGACCTCACCAGACATATTGACAATACCATTTATGCATTTAATAAATCCTATGTCCTTTTTTAGTTGGAATGCATTAAGAAAAAAATCAAGGAATCAATTAAAATTAAAAAGTCTTTCAAAAATAATTAATGGAAATCATATACTCTTTATGCCTATAAATTTGTTTTTTGTCAGTAATCAAATTACTTTTATTAGAGAATAATAATAATAATAATAATAATAATAAAAAGGAAAAAACTTAACAAATATTTCAGCGATGACAAAAAAAAAAGTTTATTTTTTTAAATTAAAATTTAAGTAAAATATATTTCTGTTAATAATATCCTATAAGCTCTCAATGATTTTTGACTATTATCATTACTATTATATAATTGAAAATTTTTTATTATGATTTAATTATTGTAATTTCGATTTTGAATAAAAATGAGTTTAATAATTATTATCTTTTATATGGCATGTACTATTATAAAAATTTATTTATATAAGACGATAGGATTAAACTAACTAATTAAAAATTAGTCTGCCTTTAAAAAATAAAAAAAATAAAAGCTAGTAGGAGTAATTTGTTTAAAATTCAATATACTTAAGCGGATACAAACGGTAATCAATAATTCAAGTAAATATTTCATTTATATATATATATATATATATTGAGTATTGGAGAAGGAGATTCGAACTTGAACAGCTATTAGATTGTAAATGCATTTATCATTATGTTATGTCTAGATGTATATTTTAGAATTATATTTAGATAAGTCAAATATAATATACTATAATTACACTTATCTCCAATGAATATATGCACGTGAGATGAATGAGTTGAGATGTAAAAACTACAATTGTAGATTAAGAATTAAAAAAAATACACTTATTTTCTAAAAAAAAAAATACACTTATTTAATATAATTTTAAAAATTAATAAATTTATCAGCAAACAAGGCTAAATTTAAAGTAATTTGATCATTTTATTAATTGGTTTGCCCCCACGTATGAGTAGATTCAGATATGGACACGTATTAACTTTTGCAGGAGAAGGAGCCAAATTGAATATTTAGAGTTATCCAAGCAATAATTGCGGAAATGGCAGGTAGATATTTGTGGGATCACTCTATTTTGAGGCCACAATCTTTACACTTGTGAAGGTGGCGCAGTGCATGATTGGACGGATTTTCAGTATTCGTAATCAACCTATGGCTACGAGGCAATAAGTTTTTTACCCCTTGGACTAATTTTTGGTCCCCAGTCTAACAAATGTTGCAGAAACTGACTATTTTTAACAGCGCGAGCCAGAAATTTAGATTGGGGGTGAAGATAATATTTTTTTTTTTCATTGATAATTAAGCCAGAAAAAACTTAGCATGGGGTTTCAAAACAACAATCAATCAAATGGATTCCTTTAATTCTTATCCTACTATATTAAGTATGGCATGTTAAATGAAAAAAATCTGATAAGAATAATAAGAAAAAAAATGACATAGCGAAACGAATAATAAAAGAAAATAGAAGAAAATTCAAATAGACATCTAAGATTACAATTTATCTTGTATATTTATACTTGATGTCTTCTCGCGTCTTGAGCTACACCTGTCGCTCTTTCGTGGTGTAAAACTCATCAATTATAAAATTGATACTCAAAGTATCAACTATATCTATCTCAATATATATAATCAAGGAATTTGCAAGAAAATCATATGCCATCTTATTACGAAGCTTATTCTTTATAAGACTCATAGCCGAGAAACCATGGTCAGTAGTTGTTGTTGAGGCTAGAAGAGTCAAAACAAGTCTAACCAACCTATCAATAAGAGGATAAATAGTTGCCTTCTTTGATTTAGCTAAATATTGTCACAATTTAGAGATAGTTGATAGCGATTGCATCTTAGGATAACGTAGAACATCAAGTACAAAAAGTTCCAATTGATATCTTAAATGTAATCTTCCTTGTTCTAAAAAATCTTCAAAATAAAACTTATTCGCAAGGCTGTAGACATCATCAATTTTAAATGACTTGAAACCATCCCTTAGATCTAAAGAGGAGCTAAGAATGAACAACTCCATCAAATCTGCCTTAAATCTAACATTCAATTTTTGCAATTGTGAGTCATGTAAGAAAATTAATGAATCTAGTATATAAATTTAGAACACCAAATAAATATTAAGCCGAAGCAATTTGCGTACCTGATTTGTGATTTAAAATAGAGTTCACGGTTCTTCTTTTAAGATTATCTGCAATCAAGACGCTCAAACACTAAATCAGAATTTGTAAAAGAGGGACTAGATCTTCCTCTCCGTTTTCTTATTCACAAGGAGGCTTTTCAATGAGACTAGTCAATAGTAGGGTTAAGGAATGAGAAGGGACCTAGCCTATTTATATAAAATCTTATGAACCTTCCCATCACAAATCCTTATAGGATTAGGCCTACACTTTTAACCGCCTTACCATACTGGCCCACTAGAGGTGTACAAGCCCATTACATAAGTGATCACATAAACACAAATTGGGCTCCACATACATATTCTTAAACTGTATTTATCCAGTCCGTTTTCACAAACTAAAATAGCCCACTATTAATAGTAGCCCCCATTAAAATTTCTAACAAGTCACTGATAGCAATGAATGTATCAACTCGAAAATAATGCTAAAATGTAATTGGGTCTTTTTGATTGCGGGTTCTAGCTCGACTAGAATTATAATGAGCATTCATATTAGGGATATCTGTGGGTCCCGAATGTGTATGGCACAACCCAATAGGGGGGGTGAATTGGGTTTTCTAAAAACTGAAATAAATTTTAGAAATTCTAAACAAGAATGGGTTTTCTAAAAACTGAAATTAAATTTTAGAAGATTCAAACAAGAATTAGAATTCTAAGTGCAATGCGGAAAAACACACAGAACTTTGTGAGAGTAGAATATGGATTAGAATCTTCCTCACAATGTCTAATTTCAGAATATTAGAAAGTCTGTGCAAAGTGCAGCTATTGATTTAGAACAGCTTCACACTGACTTGTAAGCAATTATCAGAAGCTTTCTTTAATAAGGAAAATTATCTGAACTTAGAACTCTCATAAAGATTTGCAAACATATAAGACTATGTGCAAAATAGTTATTAGAACTTCTTCACAAGATGTCTTAAATCAAAATGTTAAGTAACTGTATGATGGAGAGTTATCAGGATTAGAACATCCTCATAAGTTTAGAAAACAAAATAGAAATCCAGAAACAGTGAATTATACTGGAAAGTAGAACGACAGTAGAAACATGTAATATTCACTATATTAGAAATACCAGAGTTACTATACGTTTAGAATAGATGAAACTTTTGCTGGTTTAGAACATCTGAATTATTAACAATTTCACCGCGTTTCTAAAGAAATTAAGACCAGGAAGTTGTAAAAGAGACAGTATCAACTCAAAACTTCAGAAATAAGAGATCAACAGGACCGAGAGTTTATAGTGGTTCGGCACTAACTCGCTACATCCACTCCCCAAGACCGCATCTTGAGATCCCTCCAGCTAAGTTATCTCTTTTTAAAAAGGTAAGAGACACACCAACAGTACAAGGCCATAGATCAAAAACCTAGATCTACCCTTTTGTCCCACTAGATTTTCCAAAGGTTCTAGTTAACCTCACCCTTTCTTTTTAGACAGAGTACAGAAACTCGAAATTCAAGACCATTACTATCACCACACATTGAGAAGGGTCGCGTTGATAACCTCTATCTCAATAGCTTCCTGATCTAACCTAAGCTATTACACTCAAAAGTATAACAAATAAAGAGCCTGTCTACTATAGAATACAGATTCTAAATAGACAGAAGGAAACGCCTATATAAGCACAGAAAAAATAATCTTATTAGATTAGAAGATCGATTAGAACACAGAATTGTTTTTCAAAAAGAAATTGTAAAAAAACATTATTTTCACTTTAAATATTGAAAACGTTAAGTGTAGAGGAGAAAAGAAAATGGGGGTAGAGTAAGTTTTGAGAGAAAAGGATTCGTTCAATGAGAGAGTGCTCTTAAAACAAATACTCTTACTTCACCAAATGATTAAGGTGTGAACGTTCCTTTATATAGAAAACGAAGGAGCTTGGTCGCTTTTTGGAAAGAGATCAAATATCTTCTTCCTTGTTTAGAAGATCTGAAAAATCTTTGTTACCAAAAAATTATTTTTATCCTTTTTTGGGTAATAGAATAAAATGCCGATTTCACTTCCTTTAGAGAAATTTGCTTTCTTTTAAACAAGAGATTTCCGATAGCAATATTTGGAAAATACTTTTGCGGAAGGATACTCTTACTAAAATCGAAAGAGATTCTCTTTCGTTTTTAAGGTAAGAAAGTATATTATACCTTTCAAAATATATTTCCGAAAAAGAGAGTGATTTGTATTACCAAAAACAATAAGAGAAGAAATTTCTTTAGTTTTAGGAAAATAAATCTTTTCGATTTAAAAGAATATTTTCGAAAATAGATTAATTGAAGAAAACTAATTTTCCGAAAAATATTTTTGAGAGAGAAAAAGATTTTTGTGCTCATATATGGATTTTCTCTCTATCCTACAAAGTTTTCCTAAATAACCTAAGCTACTAGGTCTTTCGGAATTCTTCACACTCAAATAGGATTTGCCTGTATGATTATCTCCCAAAAAAATTTCCTTGCATAAAAATAAAATTAGCACAAATAACATAATTTTAAATTTATTCGTTTTGTATTAATCATCAAAATCTGAGATTAAAAAAATTGACCCTTGAGCCAACAATATCAAAAATAAAATTAGCACAAATAACATAATTTTAAATTTATTCGTTTTGTATTAATCATCAAAATCTGAGATTAAAAATTGACCCTTGAGCCAACAATATCAACTTCATGTTTCTCACAGAAAAATTAGACACTTTTAAACAGTGAATCTCATCCACTTTCTCTCATTTTCTGAATCGACATTTTTGTTGTTGATATTAAACACATTGCACTCAGAATATCTTGCATTATAAGGCTTGACAAAGGTCATGTGCGATCTCAAGTATCTCTTTCATAAGATGTAAAATAAACATAAATTCAAAAGAATTGATAGTATTAAAAGCGTAATCAGCATCTCCCCTTTAGCTATAAGTAGTCCCTTCAGCAATTATAGTTTTCAAAACTAAACAAGTTGCTTCAAACATATTCATTAAGCTTCTAAAGAGCTTAAGTGAGAACTCCATCAAGTATCATCAGCCCATTCTATAGTACCAATTTGATTTAATTCTTTACTAGTTTCAAGTTCATCATGAGTAATCAATTTCTCTAGTTCAGCAATTTGGGCAGGTTGCAATTGATCATGCCTTTTAAAAGAGGAAGTAACAACATTGGTGATGAGAGTCAATTTAGAAAAAAATTGAAGAATTGAAATTACCATTCTAGATGCTGCAACCAATGCTAATTGGAATCGATGAACAAAACAATGTATGTAATAGTTATATAGACATTCACTCAAAAATAAAGCTTATAGTCCAGACCACTCCCCACGTATATTACTAGCTCCATCATAATCCTGACCCCGAATATTTTTTATATTCAAGTTGTGCCTAGCAAGGACATCTAAAATTTCTTGTAATAGTATCAAGTTAAAGCACCAGTATCAAGGACATGAACTAGTTCAAAAAAATGCTCTTGTACATAGCCATCTTTATCAACAAATCTCAACATAATGACCATCTGCTCCTTTTTTAATTCATCACGAGCCTCATCAATAATAATGCAAAACTTCTCATTATTAATCTCATCACGGATTGCATGTCGAATCTCATTAGATATGACATGTAAAATTTGTTTTTCAACTTTGGGCGAAATGTAAGATGCATTTTGAGGAGCATTTTTCTGAAACTACCGATTCCATTTTGTCATTATAAAAACTCAAAAGTTTAACAAGTTCAATGAAATACCCCCTATTTTTTGAATTGGAGCTTTCTTTATGACCTCTTAGAGCACATGCTTGGAATGTCAACATCTAACAGCATCACGTGAGACTTTTAATCTTAGGCGATTATTTTCAATTTGTTGACAATATTGTTTTTCAATTACCTTCTCAATATGCTGATTTTGATTCATAAAATCCCTAGACTTTTGCACTGTAATCTTATGTAATAACTTAGGATTTTTTCCATATCCATTTCTAAGGTTTTCCTTTTGATGATTGTTTGAGAGAGAGAGAGAGAGAGAGAGAGAGAGAGAGAGGAAGAGGAGGGTGAGATAGAGAAAGGGTAAATGACTCATTTCTTGCTTACAGTGCATCTAATCTAGGTGGCAATTCATATGGCATCTTAATTAGCTCGCAGTCAACGACACATAATTGATAATGTGGGGTCTAATCGTTCTACAAGGATTTCTGATTGTCCACTTATGCAAAATTCACTTAATCGTTAAAATTGTAGGAGTTGATTCACCAAATTGTAAACTTTTTCCATTCATACACCAAAATGGAAATTTTTTAAAAGTTCATACACTAAAATTGCAATTATCCCTATTAAGGGTAATAAAATAAAGTTTATTGTTCAATTCTAGATTCACCTAATTAGACACAATAACTCAAATAAGGTTTTGGTACTCAAATTCTATTTTTAACTTAAATTTTATAACTAAATAAATATAGAATCGTATATATGTGATGAAACAAAAAGAAAAAAAAAAAGAAATTGACAAAGCTTTTCAATTTGCAGTTTTTAATTAAAAAAACCAAGGTGACATTCAATTCTAGATTCACCTAATGAAACATAAGAACTCAAATAAGGTTTTGGTATTCAAATTCTATTTTTAAACTTAAATTTCATAACTAAACAAATTTAGAATCATATATATCTCTTGTAGAAACAAAAATAAGAATAATAAAATAGATTAAAAGGGAATAGGAGACATACAAATTCTTCATTGTTGGTATTATCTTCTTAATTCTTGATTGAAGAACATGATTTGAGATTATTTTTTCGTTTTACTAGAGAAAAAGAGGGTTTTGTTTTTTCCTATTGTTGAAGGGCAAGTAATAAGTAAAAAGTTATTACTTTTAATCTATTAGATACCCTAACTTAATTTTTAAGTTATAAAATATAATGGCTTATTGAGATATATACATTAGGATGCTATTTAGATTCAGGTGAATAGTATTTTTCACCAATATGTGTATAGCACGTGAACAATTATACTAAAAAATTACACCAAAGTTGAATCCTTAAATTAAAAAAAAAGAAAAAAAAAAACTCTCCTCCTTCCCTCTAAAAAACCAAAGCTCATTTGTTTTTCTCGTTTGGATGGTCACCAACAATAGCTATTTAGCCGATGGTGACCCTCTTTT